ACAGGTTTAGTATGACTGTAAATTACGTAGTTTCAATTATTTTTAGGATAAAATACTACCTATATTAAAAATGATAGAAATCGATTCAGTAAACGATTCTGAACAAACTACTTTCAGGATGTGTGTTAATTATGTTACGTGTCTTATAATTAATAAACATGTAATTTTTTAATGCGCTTAAGGTATGCACAATAGGATTTAGCAATAGTTTTTATTATTTATAACTATTTACTTAAATTGTATTATTACTTCCCGTGAAGTTAATGCGAATTCCTTTTCTGTTAAGAAGTTCATCTAACTTTTTATTAGTATCGATAAATTGGTGCAAACATTATTGTTTAGTGGCATTCCTTGGGGAAGACCTATATTTAGCAGTGGATTTGTGAAATGATGCAATACGTGTGTTTGCCAATTTCTCAAAAATAATCATTTTACGAAATATTCGACTTAGAATTGGAATCAATCACTCTTCTAGGAATGTAACAATTCTGTAATATGTGTAAAAACATTAACAAATAATGATTGTTGTATGGAATAGTATTTTAAACGTGATTTTCTTATAGTTGCATAGAAAATCTATGTCAACTTTTAGTTGTTAAAAATTAGGTACTAGGAATTATATTTATTAAAGTTACAAATACTTCCCACTGGGCACACGCCTCCTTTCTTTTCTGAGTTTTAGGGCAAGGAAATGCCCACCGCGCTGCTCCAATGAGTTTTGGCGAATTTCATACGTCTTCGAAATATTTTTTCTTATTCCTTCACCGCAGAGTACGTGGTAAACCAGCACTTAAAATTGCAATTTAACAATTTTATTGGTGCCGGCGGGGATCGAATCCGGGTTACTTGCGTACCGTGAAACTTACATCAAGCGCTTAGCTCAGGGGCTAAGCGCTCGCTGTAAGCGCTACCATGGCCCTGATTTTTATTTTACTATATAATTATTATTATAGGACTTATAACAATAACTTCTTAAAACTTAGTAAGTTTTAATGACAAAACTTTTGATTAAATTTGTTCTTTTTTATATAGAATAACGGAGACAACCCAGCACACAGTCCTTTTAGTGGTAAGTGGATGTTGTGGCCCATAGAAATCTACATCTATCCTTGATTAAGAATTAAAATGCAGATACATATGCACTCCTCAGAGCTAAGATGTAATGCGGCGTTTCTAGTAGAAAAGGAATTGTTAAATAGTTATTTAAAAAACCTTAATTTCAAAGCAAACAAAAAGTTTCTTTATTAATAATAATAATAATAAATGTTTTTATTGACATATAGATTTAACAAATGTAAGAACAGTGAGTTAAACATCTAAACAATGTTCAAGACAAGATAAACAAATATTTTCCATTGGATCCCAAACTAGGATAATCCTGTATCTTGGGGTCCGGGAGCGCAAGTTATCTAAAGAATTGTACACAGTCTAACGAAAAAGAATAGCATGTTTTCCTAGTGTAAATATAATACTGCAGTATAATTTTACTATGTGTGTCTGTGTGTGTGTGTGTGTGTGTGTGTGTGTGTGTGTGTGTGTGTGTGTGTGTGTCTCTGTGTGTGTGTGTGTTTGCGTGTGTGTTTGTGTGTACGCTTCTAATGGCAATTGACTAGATCTTCAGTTTCCTCATATGTTAACGTCATTAGCCAATTTCTAATATTGTGACAGACCTGTGAGGTGTTGAGGTTTCTGATGTTATGGTATCGACATATTTTGTTATAAGTGTATGGATGTAGAAAACGTGGTAGGTGACTAGCAAAAGACGTTTTAATGTTAGGGACGGGTATTTTGTATACCCTTTTTTTTAAAATATGTTGGCAGTTAGGCAGGTTTGGAGCGTTTTTATAACATCTCTTTATAACATTTAGGATGAACAATTGGCGAACAGATAGCACACGAGACAAATTAAAGACCTCTCTGGTGGGGAATCGCACTGGTTTTTTAAGCATGACCTTAAGCAAAGCTCGTTGCGATCTTTCTATTTTTAACATATGAGTCTTTGCAGCACCTCCCCATGCTGTAATACAGTATTGCACAATGGACTGGCACATTGCATAGTATAACATTTTGAGAATATTTATGTTGGCACTGTTACGTATAAGTTTGAAAACATAAATTAGTTTTCGAACTCGAGCAGCCAAATCGGTAATATGGGGACTGAATGATAGGTTATAGTCAACCAGTACCCCTAAATATTTTATTGTTTCCGCAGCACCTATCGTTTGGCAATTGCACGTTGGGAATGTATAGGATAGGACACCATAAGGAGAATTTGGTGTTGTGCATCTGTGAACTTTTAAATTGACTATAGAAGAAGGCCTAGAAGCCCGAGTCTTATGAAACGCTATGTATTTGGACTTAGCGGTATTCAAGGTGAGGAGGTTCTTGTCCAGCCATTGAGCTATACGAGCAAGACCGTGCTCAGCCAATTTATACACTTCTTTCCACCTGTGATCATGAAAAAGCACCACTGTGTCATCTGCGTAACAAATCAGTTCCGAATTATTAATATTTAAATTTAGGATATCATTCATGTAGATAGCGAAAAGGCTCGGACCCAAAATACTTCCCTGTGGGACGCCATGCAGAACAGGAAGATCGTCACTTCTGAAATTTTGTATTTGGACACATTGTTTCCTGTTCGTTAAGTAACTATGGAACCAATTCCAGACCGTACCTCTGATCCCCATGACCTCCGATTTCTTCAGTAGGATAGGCACAGACACGGTATCAAAGGCTTTGGCGAGATCCAAGAAGACGCCGATACATGCTTCACCCTTATCTAAATAACCCGTGATCAGCTCTGTTAGCAAAACTACCGCATCCTCCGTAGATTTACCTCGCCTAAATCCGAACTGTCTTTGAGAAAGAATGTTATGTTTTTCAATGTAGTTAACAAGACGTTTGTTAACTACTTTTTCTAGTATTTTTGAGAATATACACAAAAGAGATATTGGTCTAAAGTTATCCGGGTTGTCTTTTGGACCAGTTTTGTGAATTGGACTGACAATAGCTAATTTCCAATTTTCAGGAAAGGTCCCACTTGCTAAGCTTAAATTAATAATGTGCGTCAAAGGTTCTAGAATAACATTTTTAATAGTTTTTATTAATAAAGGAGTACTACTATCAAAACCGGGAGCACTATCGTTCTTAAGTGACTCAATCACTGCAGAGACTTCGTTTGTATCCGTTGGAAAGAGATACATTGAACTCTGATGACCAAGTTGATTATTAAATTCAGAGGCCAACGTATCCTCTGTAATATGTAAGCTGTTAAGAATTTTATCAGCTAATTTTTTACCTACTGTGGAGAAGTGTTGATTACATGCGTTCAATGAGTCTCGCGCGTCTCCCATAATTTTTGTGAGTTCAATGGTATCGGTATTACCTTTGCGTATCTCACAAATGTTTTTTATACATTGACAAAGTTTTTTAGGGTTCTTATTATGTTTATGTAGTTCTGAATTTTCATAGTTCGCTTTGACTCTATGCAATAAATCATTGCAGAAATTACGATACCGTTTGTACGTTAATTCTAAAACGAGATCATTGGGGTTCTTATTTACTCGACTATGTAGCCTGTCGCGATGACGCATGCACCTCATTAGGCCAGGAGTAATCCAAGGCCTGAGATTGAATTTTGAGCGACTAACCCTTACCCGACGAGTGTGTACGCGTATTGACGTTTCAATCAGATTATGAATGTTAAGCACCGCTTCGTTAACATCGCTTGCACCAGTAATTAATGACCAGTCTTTGTTTTTCAAATCCGTAAGAACCCCAGCAAAATCAATTATAGATCTCACTCTGCTAATCTGCATCGGTTTTCTGTTAGGAAACCCTAAACCTATCATTGTTAATTTGTGATCAGTTAATGCAGAATCACAGACTATACCAATTGATGGTTTTGTAGAATTAGTAAAGATGTGATCCAAACAAGCGTTGTTTCTCGTGGGTATGGTTATGGCTGGCACAAGTCCATGGCTAGCCATTAAAAACAGATAATCAGATAGATGAGAGTTTAATTCGTCAGGTAGGAGGTTTATATTAATGTCACCGGCTATTATAATAGGAAATTTAGTGTTTGAATGAATCGTAGAATCAAGTGATTGTATGAAACGGTCCGGATTATTGAACGAAGGAGATCGATAAATCCCAAGAAGTGTAAGTGTATTTTCTATTGTTATTTGCAGACAATTTGCGTCATCTAATGTAGGTTCCGATACTAAAACATTATATGCATCTTTTATGTACGCAACAACACCGCCATTTTTATTTATAAATTTATTAGTACGAAACGATTTGTAGTCTGGAATTTGTGGTATGACTGTCCCTTCATTCAAAAAACACTCAGACAAAATAATAGCGTCAAATTGTACATTAATTCTCGAGAGAACCACTAGGAAGTCAGTAAAATTATGATGTATACTTCTTATGTTACAGCCTAGTAATGTGAAGTTAGAGTAAGACTGTAATTTGTTTGCACACAGTTCCAGATCAGGAATTGAGTGACATGTTATAGAGAATGTTTTACTAATATCCCCTTGTACGTCTATGGTGGCCGCTTGGGCCATAAATGGGAAATATAAATATTATTACTTCCATGTATAGTCACTCGTGATAAAAGTTGTGAGTAAACAGTAATAACAGTTAGGAGAGCCTGAGAAAGAAGAGCTTGTTTTACGTGTAACATTTTTTGTGTTTGTTTGTTTTGTTTAGTTTTTTTGTAACAATGTATTAGAAGTGTAATATAGAAGATAGTTACATATTTAATTTGATGTAGTAGTTTATGCATGTTATAGTGTAATATGAGTGTATGTATTGTGTTTTTGTATATATGTATGTTAATAGGTACGCTAATTAATATACAAATACGTAGTAAATACCACAGAAAGTTAATTTTGTACAACTTATAAAATTGGAATGTAGATCTTAAGACTAGAGTTAAAAATATACAAACTTCACAACAAAATGAGAAATAAAAAATAACATTAAGAAAGCTAATGCAGCATTTGTTGATTGGTGCTACCAACTGGAGCTGTGGCAGCCAATTCCTCAGGACCGAGATGACGCTCCAAGTCAGAGGCGTTCCGTATCGTGATGGAAGGACTTCCTTCCCGTCTACGGATGTGGATGTAACCCTGCTTAACCCAACAATACTTGTAACCGGCCTCTTTAGCTCGTGTTCTTGTCTCTCGAAATAACCACCGGTTATGTTTCGTTAGGTGTTCATTGAAATATAGTTTTCTGGTGGGGCCCTGTAATTCGATATCAGAAGTAGTGAGGTCACGCCTGGTCCTAGAGGCTCTAAGGAATTCATCTCGTTTGTTTTTGCGTAGGAAACGTATAATTAGTGGGCGCGGGGGCTTATTTTCTGACGTCAAAAGCTTCTGCTGTCTTAATCCTGCTCGGCTAATGCAATCGATGTCCTCCGATACCAAACTCACCCTGATTTTGCTGGCGATAACTAGTATTACATGCTCAAGACTTTCATTTTGATTTTCATTGAGTCCCATAATCTCTAACTCATTTCGAATAGCGGATTGACCCTGAGAATTGATCTGATCCTGGAGAGAGGATATAGTCGCAGTAAGCTCGGCCACTTTTAATCCATATGTTTTAACCTCTTGAATAGTTTTTTCAGCACTTACCATGCGAGTTTCAAGTGATTCCAGCTTTGTAGTGCACTTGAGAAGGCAGGCCGATAGATTTTCCATAATTCCCTTAATACTGTTGGACTCTTCTCGCAATAATCTTATTTCCGAGGTAAGCGAAACAAGGTTATTATTAATAGAAGTTACTGTGGGAGCCTGGTTAATATCAACATTTGGTGATAAGGTGGCCTTCCGTTTTGTTGAGCGAGCTGTGATGTTATTAGAAAAACCCGTTGGGGATGCACAAATTGGAGTGTTTGAATTGCCAAGTTTTGGCTCCTTACATAGACAGTTAGGGCAAAGCCAGCTCGCTAAATATTCGTCAGAATAAGAGTTGTACTCCTGTGCCGATACATTAACACACAATATATGATAACCTGTTTCGCATCTGTAACATTTCATAAACAAAGATGTAGTATCCATATTAGCTAAACAACCGCCGCAGTTTACACTCGCCATTATAATACTTCTAATTATAATAAAAAAAAAGCGCAAGCGTGAGGTAAGCAATATCAACAAAGTCGCACAAGAAAATATTTAGTTCACTTCGGCGACAGTGGGTGACCGCGCTGGGCCTATTTAAAAATATTACGGTTGTGTTTAAGCAAGCGATACAGCTATATCTCAATGGTCAATGGCGATGTTTTGTGCGACAACGCCCGCTATTGGTTGTAGGCCGAAGCAATACTCCGTCGTTGTAGGTAGGAGTGATGTCACAAGACGTGCTGAGATGATTCATAAAGCAGTAGCAATTAACACTTACTTTGTCCGTTGTAAGAAATTAGTTGATTTAATTTGCTGATTTTTAAGAGTTGTAGAAGACACTTATGTCACAATCTATTGAAAACACTTGTATTGATAGTTTGGTGTATATTTATCACTTAATAATTGACTTTAATCGAGTAAAACGAATTAAATACAACTTTGGGACAGTGTACGCAACCTCCGCGGTCGACGTTGCCGAGCGCTCAAGCCGAGTGATCAATAACACTTCTACGATTCACATTTACATTCTTATCCGTGTTGTTCTTTTCTACCTTCTTATCAAATAAACAATTCAGGAAATAAGATCGATTTTCACATTTCGAAGTGTGAAGCGATAAACAAATCTAAGAAGGACGTAAGATACGAGAATTGGTTTTGTAATGTCTTTGGGTAGTCGTAAATACAACAACGCTACGCGCCATACATTTCTTTTAGAAACAACATTTGTGGTTATTGGTGTTGAATGTTGATTAATGTATAGTTTTAATTCATTGAATAAACTACTTTTACGCATTGTATCGCGTTTAATTAACTTATTTTTGTTATTTTTATTAATTCCCGACGTTTCGGGTGCTTTCCAGCACCCATGGTCGAAAGCACCCGAATCGTCGGGAATTCATAAAAATAACAAAAATAAGTTAATTAAACGCGATAAAATGCATCAAAGTAGTTTTATTCAATGTGTAGTTTTAGTTCATTGAGGCCAATAATCTTCCGCTCACCAGATGTCGCTCGTTGGAACTGAGGTAAAGTTTTTGTCACACAATGCCATTTAATTGAGAAATAAGTTTTAAGTAAATATTTATATTTATACTCTGTGTAGTGGCAGATAAGAATACCTACTACCCCATATCTTCCCGTGGGTGTCGTAAGTGGCGACAGATGGAAGTTGAGACAGAAGATGGGCAGCAGCATCTTTCTGATAACAGCAAAAAGCAATCAAAACTGCGGTTAGCAACCCGCTTGCCAGGCCTGACTCCTATGGCAATATACCCACATGACGAGAGTAACAAAAGGATAGCCCCCAGTCCCCGGCGGCCCCGCTATTTCTAGGTACGGTTGCAACCATAGTAACGGCGGCGCAGAGGGTGCTAGTAATTTCCGGTGGAGGTTCGGTTGCCACCTGAGACGACTTGACCTGGCAACTTATAACGCATACCTGAGGACTGACGAGAAGATCCTGGAGCTGGAAGAAGAGATAGACAAATTGCGCTGGGATATTATAGGATTATCTGAAGTCCAAAGAGAGGGGGAGAACACGGAAATGCTCGAATCCGGCAACTTGTTCTATCACCGGGAGGGCTAGTTGCCCTCCCGGTGATAGAACAAGTTGCCTGACCCAAAAAGGTGTCGGATTTATCCTCCACATTTCTCTCGTTAACATCGTTGTAAAGATTGGGAGTGTGTCGACGAGGGTTGCGTACCTTATACTAAGAATTACCAAACTGTATTCGCTGAAGGTCATACAGGTTTACGCACCAATTTCAGCATAACCCAATGAGGAGGTGGAGGAAATGTATGAGGATATCTCTAGAGCCATGCATTCCTCCAAAACCTACTATACGGTGTTAATGGGAGACTTAAACGCAAAACTAGGCACAAAAGAAAACGGTGAGCTGAAAGTAGGGAAATTCGGGATTGGGCAACGGAACCCAAGGGACCAGCAGTTGACTGACTTTATGTATAAAGAGGGACTCTTTATGATGAACTCTTTCTTCCAGAAGCGGCCCCACAAAAAGTGAACCTGGTCGAGCCTCGCCAATTCGACAAAAATGAAATTGACTACATTATGACGACTAGACGACAACTGTTTAGAAATCGCAAAGGTGAAAACTGGCAGCGATCACCGAATGGTGAGAGGCACACTGAACCTAAACGTTTAATTGAAGAGTTCACGTACGAGGGTGACACTGAAAGTTTTTAGAACTGGCCACTTGTAAACGATATAATAAAAAATAAGTTAAAATTTTGAAAATGGAACTATTTGCTAATATTATTGTGTGTGTGTATTTTATTAATTTGTCATTTTTTTTACGATTTGGCGGCAAGTTCAAAATTGTCTGTGTCATGTCAGCATGAATTTAACGCGAGAAAATTTTCGTACAAAGATTTTTTTTGACTTTCGATATCAATTTAAGTCAACAAGACAGTTACGATAGACTTCGATTGGCCTTTCGCGATGAAGCTCCATCTCGGTCCACTGTTTACAACTGGTTTAATGAGTTTAAACGTGGTCACACTAATCACACCGATGATCTGCGTGAGGGACGGCCTTCTATGGCGACGACTGAATATAACATTAGTGTTGTTCGGCGTATGATAGAGACTGACAAAAGAGTCACTTATCAGCAGATTTGGACAAGCTTAGGCATTGGAGTCAACTGTACAAAATCCTCCATAAACATTTAGCGGTCAGGAAGCTTTGTGTCCGGTGGATACCTCATAATTTGACGGAGGCCAAAAACTCCGCCGTGTTGATTGGTGTCGTGAAATGGTTCAAATATTTAACGGAGGTGACTCAAATCATGTGTTTGACATACTTACGGGTGACGAAAGCTGGATTTATTGTTATAATCCTGAAACTACGAGACAGTCTGCTGTCTGGGTATTTCCTTCCGAGGAGTTGCCAACTAAAGTGAAGAGAGGTCGAAGCGTGGAAAAAAAGAAGGTGGCCTCGTTTTTCAGAAGGACAGGTCATTACGCAACAATTGTTTTAGAGGATCGAAAAACAGTTGCTGCAGAATGGTACACTAACAATTGTTTACCACTTGTCTTGGAAAAAGTTCGGGAGAAATGACCTCGTAGTAGGATCCTCCTTCACCACTACAACGCCTCGTCACACACCTCCAAGCAAACAATCGACATTTGGCGATGTCAGACGTGGAATTACTGAGTCACCCACCCTATAGCCACGACCTCGCACTTTGTGATTTTGATTTATTTCCGAAAATAAAAGAAAAACTGTGAGGTATAACGTATACCGCTGTTATGGACACCGAGGAAGCAGTGTCTGCGTTTCAAAATGTCATCGAAGAGACCCCTAAGAACGAGACGGCAAAGTGTTTTTCTCAGTGGTTCCATCGGATGCAGCAATGTATTGATGTAAATGGACACTATTTTGGAAAGATATAATAAAACTAATTATTTGCTTGTTTGTTCAGTTTCTATTTTCTAAGAACTTTCGGTGTCACCCTCGTATTATGAAGTCAACGCTCCGTTCCCCTCGCAAGTGGAGGTTGAACACAATCATAAAAATGTTTAATGAATTAAATAAAATAACTACTATCTAATAATTATTTGATTTTCAGTCGGTGTTTTAGATTATAAGATCAGTAAAGAGCCATTAATGGCGCAATCAATATTGTTTTGTCTGCAATTGTGCATAAAATAAAAAATAACTTCAGCCAAAGAGCACAACTGGCATTTATTGGCAATTTGATTAAATAGATTTTATATGAAGTGATCTTGACTACGTTTCATCAATTAACCATTGATAAAAATGAGAACAGCAGTTTTACAATTGTGTTTACTCGAAACACTATAATTTGAACTTGCAGCTTGTTCATTATTTTTATTATAAATACCCATAAATATATATATTTCTAGCTGGCCAGACAGACGTTGTTCTGCTCTTTCCGACATTCGACATTCCGAATTCGCAATAAAAAAATATTGAAGGTCACTTATCAGGTTAAAAAGTATCCTATCTCTCAAGTTGGACCAAACTGCACACAGCGTGCAAAATTTCATTGAAATCAGTTTAGTAGTTTAGGAGTTCATCACGGACAAACAATGTGAGACGTAATTTTTATATATAAAGATTTATAAATCGTTCCCATAATATTTTGTATTATTTTTTATTTTGTCATATCTGAAACGTTCTAAACTCTATAGAAAATGTGATGTATGAAATGACTGACAATCACTAGAACATTTTATCTAGGTACAAAGATGTTTTACGTTTACGTGGCCTCCACATGCTATTTTTCTCAACATTAGGTACCCTTCTGTATTTGAAACGAATATGAATATTGCATATGTATACGATACAAAAGTAAAGCAACAGGCTATATAAGTCCATTTGCTGGTCACAGGACTCTTCTTATTTCTGAGAGGGTATTAGGTCAAGGAAATGTCCGCCGCGTTGCCCCAATGCGTATTGGCGAACTTGACATGTCTTCGAAATTTTTTTCTTATTCCTCAGACAAGCAGGTTTCCTGAAGATGTTTTCCTTCATCACCGAGCACGTGCTAAATAAGCAATTAAAATTGCAATAAAAATTTCATTGGTGCTGCCGGGGATCAAACCCGGGCGAAATTTACAGCGAGCGCTTATACCCAGAGCTACTAATACGATACAAATAAATGCGGTTCAACAAAATAATAAAAACTCTTTCGTACTTAAAACATAAAAACTTGATAACTCGTGATGCCTACCGGACGAAGCTACAGCACCACACTGCAATGTAATTGCAAGTGAGATGCTTAACTGCGACATAATTCTCAGTGATGCGCAAGCATAATAGGCAGTATATAATTACTTATATAATTGCCAGCTCTGCAGTCTATTAATCTTTGCACTTTTCTAAGTAAGATACGGTGTTGGCGTCTGCTAAATTCTCTGCGGTCGCCGTTTCAACAAGGTCATTCAGGCTTCTTAAAGCGCACTAGTTTTTTGCCAGGGTTTCGCTCGTG